TATATATTCGGGTGCATCTCAAACAATCAGTTAATTTTTTTGTAACTTATTTCAAAAAGTGAAACTTTTATATATTGTAGATTCATATTGTATATTGTAGAGCATTGACATCGTCCACAAAGATGGTAAGTCACAGAAAGTCATTACTGAAAGAGCTGGCTGTTCACAGAGTGCTGTATCAAAGCATATTAAATGCAAAGTTGACTGGAAGGGAAGAAATTGGGTAGGAAAAGGTGCACAAGCAACAGGGATGACCGCAAGCTTGAGAATACTGTCAAGCAAAGCCGAGCTTGAAGTCCAGTGTGAAGTTTCTGAAGTCAGTGATGATTTGGGGAGCCGTGACGTCTGCTGGTGTTGGTCTACTGTGTTTTATCAAGTCCAAAGTAAATGCCGCCATCTACCAGGAGATTTTGGAGCACTTTATGCTTCCATCTGCTGACAAGCTTTATGGAGATGCTGATTTCCTTTTCCAGCAGGACTTTAGCACCTGCCCACAGCATCTTACCTGGGCTAAGGAGAAAAAGAGCTGGACTGTTGCTCAGAGGTCCACAGTCCTCTTTTCAGATAAAAGTACATTTTGCATTTGATTTGGAAATCGAGGTCTGGAGTCTGGAGGAAGACTGGAGAGGCACAGAATCCAAGCTGCTTGAAGTCCAGTGTGAAGTTTCTGAAGTCAGTGATGATTTGGGGAGCCGTGACGTCTGCTGGTGTTGGTCTACTGTGTTTTATCAAGTCCAAAGTAAATGCCGCCATCTACCAGGAGATTTTGGAGCACTTTATGCTTCCATCTGCTGACAAGCTTTATGGAGATGCTGATTTCCTTTTCCAGCAGGACTTGAGCACCTGCCCACAGTGACAAAACCACTTCCAAGTGGTTTGCTTACCATGATATTACTGTGCTTGATTGGCCAGCCAACATGCCTGGCCTGAACCCCATATGGAATCTATGGGATATTTTCAAGAGAAAGATGAGAAACAGTCGATCCAACAATACAGATGAGCTGAAGGCTCAATAGTGCCTCAGCAGTGCTACAGGTGGATCGCTTCCATGCCACACCTCACTGATGCTAGAGTTTGTGCTAATGCATAAATCATCATACTTTAAAGAACACTGAACTTTTCTGTTTTACAAATCCTTTTTTTGATTGATCTTAAGAAATATTCTAATATTTTGAGATACTGGATTTTGTATTGTTGGAAGTAGTATTGGTGAAAAGAAAAATGGAGCTCAATTTATCAACTAAAACCACATAAAATTAGAATTAAAAAATAATCTCTATTTCTTGTGCTAATAACAAACCATACCAGCAGTGTCAAACAAGAATGTATCCATCATATCATCACTCAGCAGAGATGATTGTAAAATTCACTTTATACATCTAATGTTTTTGTGGCTGTCCACGTTGTCGTTTTTCTCTCTCAACAGATGTGAACGAGTGCAAGCAGTTCGGGATCTGTTCTCACATCTGTAACAACACTAAAGGCTCTCACAAATGCAGCTGCTACAAGAACTTCATCAAAGTGAACGACACCTGCAAGGCTGACAGTACGTTTCAAACTACAGTCAAGTCAAGTCTATTTGTATATTGCTTTATACAATACACATTGTTTCAAGGTAGTTTTTCAGAAAATTTAGATTTTTAATGATTAAAATATCTTAATATCTTCATATCTTAATATCAATATCATAATATATTATTAATATCTGCCTTCTAGTCACATTTAGCAGATTTGAAATGAACGATAATATAGATTATTTGCGACAACATAGTTATATAAGGTTTATAGTATATGTAAATCTCTTAAGTGAGTATACTGTATCTATGCAGATAAAGTTGGATGTACTATATATCCAACATTAAATGTATTGTTGTGGGATAATATAGTTTACGTTTTGCGATTAATAAAAAATCCAGCAGTTGAGATGTTCTATATTTTTCATATCACTTTATGAGAGTATATTGTATGTATGCAGATTAAGTTCTACATTTATTTTATTGAGGTGTATTGCTGTTATCTTGATTTCAGTATTACATTTCCTTTCTGTCATTGTGCTATCTGTCATTGTAGGCAGTGACAAACAGGCTCTGTACGTGGCAGATGATAATGAAATTCGCAGTTTGTATCCTGGAATGCAAACCTGGATATATGAGCAGGCCTTCCAAGGAGACGCCAATGTACGAATCGATGCCATGGACCTGCACATCAAATCCAAACGGATCTTCTGGACCAACTGGCACACGGGAAGAATCTCATCCTTCGAGCAGCCTTCTGCTGGACCCGCCTCGCCGAACTCAAACCGCAACCGAAGACAAGCCGATTCCAGAGTTACTGATCTAGAGGTCAGTGCTTCTCAGTGCCGTGCCGTTACAGCACATTTGTGACTTGAATGTGAGAGACTTACGGTTTCAGTTACTTTACCTGTCCAAAAACAGTCCGTTAGCTGATTGATATTACAACCGGTATTTGTTATCAGAAGTCTCCCTAAAAAACCCTAACAATACAAACATGCTAAATATAAGTGTTGGGGGTAACGCATTACAAGTAACACGAGTTACGTAATCAGATTACTTTTTTTCAAGTAACTAGTAATGCATTACTTTTTAGTTTACAAGAAAATATCGGAGTTACTTTTTCAAATAAGTATAAGTATAACCGCAGGTTGAGAGGAATCAGGAGTAAGTGCAGAGGCGTTGTGTGCGCTGTGCGAACAAGATGTTACTGTAGTTCTAGACTAAATGTCAACATGCATTTACTCATCTCACCTGCACAAAAAACAGATTCAGTATTCCTCGAAATGAATAAAAACAGTGAGATGCAAACTCAGAATATGACGCACACCTGCAATAATTAAATATGTTAAATAAAACAGATATCCTGTATGTATTTTAATCCCATTTTATTAAGCAATGTTTTTTTTTCTTTTCTTTTCCTTTCATTTCACTTTTGGTGTGAAAGGGCTTTTATTTTTGCCAAAAATAGAACTTTTTATATTAAAAACAAACAAGCAAGTCCTGGCCAGATTGAAAAAGTAACGCAACACATTCCATAAAAAGTAACTAAGTAACATAATTAGTTACTTTTTTAGAGAGTAACACAATATTGTAATGCATTACTTTTAAAAGTAGCTTTCCCCAACACTGTGCATAACAGAATTTAACAGAAGGAATAAATGAAGTAACCTTTGATTTGTTATAGATCCCTGGCCTGAAGATGCCTCGTGGGATTGCTGTGGACTGGGTGGCCAACAACATCTACTGGACGGACTCGGGTCGTGATGTCGTCGAGGTGGCGCAGATGAACGGACGGAATCGTAAGACGCTCATCTCGGGCATGATTGACGAGCCCTACGCCATCGTGGTGGACCCACCGAGAGGGTGAGCGGAAAATCAACAGAAAGTGGCAGAAAGCATCAGCACTAGCTTTGTTTGTGTCAGCATTTTTTTGCTGCACAACGTTACATTTATTAGTGGGAATTGCTAAGTCAATTATACAGTTCATACTTAGGGTTAACACTCTTGAAATAAGTATTTGGATTTGTATTAAAACTATGTTAACCATTGATGCTTGAAGCACCATGTACTGGGCTGACTGGGGAAACCACCCTAAGATTGAGACGGCTGCTATGGATGGCACTATGAGAGAGACGCTGGTGCATGAAAACATTCAGTGGCCCACAGGTCAGCCATCATGTGAATCAAACAGCACACACTCGGATTCAAGCACCTGTGACACCAGTAACATGACTTCTGTTGGGTTTGTTTGCCAGGTCTAGCTGTGGATTACTTCAATGAGCGTCTGTACTGGGCTGATGCCAAACTCTCTGTTATCGGGAGCGTCAGACTGAACGGAACAGATCCGGTCATAGCTGTCTCCAGTGTTAAAAACAGTTGAGTCACTCGCTTGATCAATTTAGGTCAAAACAAAATGTATTCACACATTCAACATTTCTCACATCATCACAGTTTATTCACTATAGTTTAGAAAATGGTAATACAATATGACAAGAACTCTATGAAGACTATGGCAAGGTATGTAATGAATTACAATCAATCAAAAATGATTCAGCTGTTAAATTTAAAGGAACACTCCATTATTTTTGAAAATAGGCTAATTTTCCAACTCCCCTAGAGTTAAACAGTTGAGTTTTACTGTTTTCGAATCCATTCAGCCGATCTCCGGGTCTGGCGGTAGCACTTTTAGCTGTAGCTTAGCATAGATCATTGAATCTGATTAGACCGTTAGCATCTCGCTCAAAAATGACCAAAGAGTTTCTTCTGTAGTTACATCGTGTACTAAGACCGACGGAAAATGAAAAGTTGCGATTTTCTAGGCCGATTTGGCTAGGAACTATACTCTCATTCCGGCTTAATAATCAAGGAACTTTGCTGCCATACCATGGGTGCAGCAGGCGCAATGATATTACACAGCGCCTGAAAATAGGCTTATTGGAAGTTACCTAGCTGGGGACTATTTTCAGGGACTGCGTAATATCATTTAGCATCCGTTAGCATCAGAGCGAGATGCTAAATGATCTATCCTAAGCTACAGCTAAAAGTGCTACCGCCAGACCCGGAGATCGGCTGAATGGATTCGAAAACGGTAAAACTCAACTGTTTAACTCTAGGGCAGTTGGAAAATGAGCCTATTTTCAAAAATAGTGGAGTGTTCCTTTAAGTACACAATTAGATAATACCAATTTAGGTCAACCAATTACCAAGCAATGCTTAATTTTGTTCAGTCTGTGGTGTAAACATGTCGCATTAGCAATTAAAGAAAAAATACTTAAGCAACCATGGTCCGGTCAAAGTGTCTGAAGAATTTTTGGTCCCAAATTTTTATCAGTTTTACTGGTAGACCACTGTATGAAGAATTTTTGGGTATAATATGTCACAGTTTACTTTATTTAGCTATCCTCACTTACATAAATGAACTATAATGTCCTGCACCCAATAATAAAAAAAATATCAAAAATTATATCTGGTGTCTGAATAATTTTTGGTTTGACTGTAATAGGACAACAAGCCTGGGGAAATTCGACTCACTTGTGCATCCTCAAACAACTCTGGATCGATCCAGAGGAATTCAATTTTAGATGAATTATTAATTATTTTGTATTGAGAAGCCTAAATAGAATAAAACATTACAGCCAAGACATGTGAGCATAAACTTTTCATAATTTAATGCAGAATTTTAAACATCTTAATGAACAAACAACCAACACATGAAATGTAGGACATTTGACTTTTTTGACATTTTTATATTTTATTTTATTTCAGTTATTGTTTATTGTATTTCAGGTAATGAAAACACCTTTGTATAGTTTTAGTTTTAGTTAACTATAATATTTTTATAATATTTTTTAATGTAAATGCATCACTTAAGTTTGAATGAGCTTTTGTAAAGCTTGAGATATAAAATAACGACAAAGTTTTTCTCTCTCTCTCTCTCAGATTTGCACCATCCTTTCAGTATCGACATCTTTGAGGATTTCATATACGGTGTGACCTATCACAACAACTTTGTCTTCCGCGTCAACAAGTTTGGCAAGAGTGCAGTGGAGCATCTGACCACAGGAATGAACCATGCCACAGATTTGGTCCTGTTCCACCCTTACAAACAGCCAGAGAGTAAGTCTGTCAACCAACCGATTCTTACATATATCTGTATTTGAACTCAGTCACAAAACATAATCAGTGTAGTTTTTGACCCTTGATTGATAGAAGAATAGAAAAATTTGCTGGGAGAAATTTAGACCAAAGGTTTTGATGAACTTTTAATGATATGTAAGGTTAGTTTGATCATTCATGTATCATGTGCTGTTTTGTATCATAGTGGCCAACCCATGTGACAGGAAGAAGTGTGAGTGGTTGTGTCTGCTCAGCCCCAGCGGCCCAGTCTGCATGTGCCCCAACGGCAGAATACTGGACAATGGCACCTGCGTGGAGGTTCCTACCCCAACGCTGTCCCCTGTCTGTGAGTATTGTGACCTTTCAAATCGCTTGAAAAGGGAAACAGATGCTGCAGTTTCATGTGGTATTTGTTGAATGAACACTAATGGCTTAGTGTGACAGGCTGTGGTGCAGTATGACTGGCGCAGTGTGTTCCTGTGCTGTGCAGTCAGTGACAGGAGTGAGGACACATAAGAGCAGAGTGGCAGTCAAAGGTGCAAGAGTAATAGAATGGTTTGGAAATAAAACGAAACTGCAAAATAATCATAGTTTCTATCAGTGTTAGGGAAGCTACTCTGAAACTATAGCTTGACCAGCTACAAGCTTCTCATAAATTAAAGTAGTTAAGCTCCATTTCAGCTACCCTTCTGAAAAAGTAGCTAGCACACTTCAAGTTACTATCAAAAAGAAGCTAGCTACATTAAAACTACTTTCAATTATTTTTAATTAAATTAAATTAATTAATTATTATTTACAATTGACATTACAAATAACTGAATAACTGTTAATGAAGAATTATAATGAAGTTATAAGTAAAATATTTTGGGTTTAAAACAACATATTGTAATGCAATCATTATTTCAAAGAGTAGGGTGAATTCAGGTAGTTTGGGACATTTTTTCCAAGTCATTTCAATGACAAAAGTGTCCCAATCGTTTGGTTTTGTAAACTATCCAATACACACAATAATAAAATATAGTTATATTGTCTCAAACTGACTGTCAAAGTTGAAATAGCTACAAAAGTAACATCAAAGCAAGAGCAAACTTTATGCAACTTAAACTGGATCGGAAGAGTCGTAAAATAGGCAGGTTAAACTCACAGCACGTGGTATTTACTGACTGTGAATGGAGACGCTCTGAGATGTCAATCATCAGCTGCGCGCGTGAACACCTGCGCTTTGCGTGAATCCCACCGCAATCATCCTTTGCCAAATGATAAGCACACTACTATATCACGATTTTGTTTTCTGTGGGGGGACAGATATTTTTATATAGAGTGCAGTTAAGCAGGAAAATTAATCCGTTTAAAAAGGCTATTATTCACCTCCTGTATGTGCTTAAAGTCTTCAGTGTAGACCGCATTTTAATCTTTGTTTTGCATAAATTACAGTTGATTCATGTGAAATATCCACTTCTGTACATCCTTTGCAAAATCATCAGATGATCTCTTGTCGGTGGACAGACTGTAAAGCCGGGAGATGTGTGATATCACAACAGATGGCGGAAATGAACAAATTTAGTTTGTGATCTAGTCAGAAGAAGACGCTGTGCTGTATTACAGGCTCGCGACTCGTTAGAACCAAAGACTATAGAAATACAAAGACGGTTCACTCCTATACTTATGAATGGGAGAAACTGCAACACGCAATATGGCGGAATAGTCCCACCTTTCAAATGAAAAATCCAATCGTTGATTGGTAAAGTCATTGCGTCACTGCAGCGGCCGTTAGAAGCTCCGGTTCCCATAGAAACCTGAGGCTAGACCAGCTAAAGTTTAAAGTTTAACTGTTTAAAGCGCTTATGACTGCGCATGCACATTGGCTGGTCTAGCCTGAAAAATAAGCTTTTTAAACGATATTTGAGCATAAGAAACAACATTCATGGGGCAGTTCATTTCAGATTTTGTTGCTTATTTGAAATATGTAGTTTAAAGTCCGCATGAAATCAAAATTTACTTTATTTACTTTATTAGCGCACATTGCTAGTCTTGATGTGAACAATTAATCCGTGCAAGTTAATCCGCTGAAAAAAATTGTTTGTCTTGGTAATCTTTAATCAAACTCTGAACATTTGCTTCCGCTCTGGAATGGCATTCCTTCTCTGATGACGACAGTTTGATGGCTTGGGCAGAATATAAACACACCCCTCCAACCGTTAGGTTGCTATGAGTGAGAGACCGAGAGGAGGAGCGCTAAAATAAAACCATGCCCTCTATTCAATATTCCGTTTCAGCTGGAAATACGTAGAGATTTCAGGATTCCCCCATTCTTTTACATTAGATAGGACTTGGTCTTGTATGATCTGCCCGGAGGAGTTACAAATATGGCCGCCGAGTGAACAGACTTTTCTTGAAAGGGATTTTGGTCAGAACGCAAAAAGGAATGTAGCTTTTGGTCACGCTACACTGCTACTTGCTGGAAAAAGTAGTTAGCTACTGGAAAAGCTACACTGTTTTAAAAGTAGCTGAGCTACTGTCACACTACTGAAAAATGTAGTTACGTTAGTAGCACCGCTAATTGTAGCTAGCTACTCCCCAACACTGGTTCCCACACATGCACATAATTTCCGCTGTAAATATAGTTTGAGAAGAGTTGTCTTTGCAAGTGCCTTGAATTCTGATTGTAAATAAGGTAAGTGCTTATGGAAGAGATGTGTCTTCATCTGATTTGAAACAGAAAGTTTCGGGTGGAGCCTGGTGGTTCGCTTCACCACAGCAGAACAGAAAGTGTGAAGGTTTTGGAAAGTGATTTTGTTTCTGATTGTGAAGGAACATCCAGGCACCACTGGTTCACTGAGGGTAAATGGTGGGAGCGAGCATGTGCTAGTAGGAATGAACTGAGATAGCGTCAGAGTCTTGAATTGGATGCAAGCAGAAACAGGTGGTGAGACCTGGGCTGAGTGAGGTCATGGACCATCTTTGGTAGTTTGAAGATACTTTCTGGCAAAAAAGGGCATTGAAGTATCTAAAGCATGAAAGGAGAATGACAGAAAACCAGAAAAGAAGTGGTCAGAGAAATGTAAGTTGTGACACGATGGTTGTTAATGATACTGGTATAGGTAAGGATGAGGTCTAGCTCTGCCTGCTTTGTTGTCGCAAGGGCACGCTGTCTTGTAATGTCTACACAAGGACTAAGAATTCAGCTGCTTGCATGAATTCAGCTGCAGCATGCATAGTTCCTCAAGGAATTTGTTTAGTTGACTTGGAGGAGGATAAATGACAACAAAGTGAATTTCAGCAGGGTGAGTTTTTCTAAGGAAGCAGGGAGAAGATATAGACCGTTTCAATGGCAACAACATAAACAAACGTTACTGTGCATGCGTGCTTTTGTGGCCCAAACTTCACTTACGGTAGACTTCCGCAAAGAATCAATAACAACAGCAAAGTCCCTCTAGAGTAGATTATTTCTGATAACAAGCATCTGAACATTTGCTTCCGCTCTGGAATGGCATTCCTTCTCTGATGACGACAGTTTGATGGCTTGGGCAGAATATAAACACACCCCTCCAACCGTTAGGTTGCTATGAGTGAGAGACCGAGAGGAGGAGCGCTAAAATAAAACCATGCCCTCTATTCAATATTCCGTTTCAGCTGGAAATACGTAGAGATTTCAGGATTCCCCCATTCTTTTACATTAGATAGGACTTGGTCTTGTATGATCTGCCCGGAGGAGTTACAAATATGGCCGCCGAGTGAACAGACTTTTCTTGAAAGGGATTTTGGTCAGAACGCAAAAAGGAATGTAGCTTTTGGTCACGCTACACTGCTACTTGCTGGAAAAAGTAGTTAGCTACTGGAAAAGCTACACTGTTTTAAAAGTAGCTGAGCTACTGTCACACTACTGAAAAATGTAGTTACGTTAGTAGCACCGCTAATTGTAGCTAGCTACTCCCCAACACTGGTTCCCACACATGCACATAATTTCCGCTGTAAATATAGTTTGAGAAGAGTTGTCTTTGCAAGTGCCTTGAATTCTGATTGTAAATAAGGTAAGTGCTTATGGAAGAGATGTGTCTTCATCTGATTTGAAACAGAAAGTTTCGGGTGGAGCCTGGTGGTTCGCTTCACCACAGCAGAACAGAAAGTGTGAAGGTTTTGGAAAGTGATTTTGTTTCTGATTGTGAAGGAACATCCAGGCACCACTGGTTCACTGAGGGTAAATGGTGGGAGCGAGCATGTGCTAGTAGGAATGAACTGAGATAGCGTCAGAGTCTTGAATTGGATGCAAGCAGAAACAGGTGGTGAGACCTGGGCTGAGTGAGGTCATGGACCATCTTTGGTAGTTTGAAGATACTTTCTGGCAAAAAAGGGCATTGAAGTATCTAAAGCATGAAAGGAGAATGACAGAAAACCAGAAAAGAAGTGGTCAGAGAAATGTAAGTTGTGACACGATGGTTGTTAATGATACTGGTATAGGTAAGGATGAGGTCTAGCTCTGCCTGCTTTGTTGTCGCAAGGGCACGCTGTCTTGTAATGTCTACACAAGGACTAAGAATTCAGCTGCTTGCATGAATTCAGCTGCAGCATGCATAGTTCCTCAAGGAATTTGTTTAGTTGACTTGGAGGAGGATAAATGACAACAAAGTGAATTTCAGCAGGGTGAGTTTTTCTAAGGAAGCAGGGAGAAGATATAGACCGTTTCAATGGCAACAACATAAACAAACGTTACTGTGCATGCGTGCTTTTGTGGCCCAAACTTCACTTACGGTAGACTTCCGCAAAGAATCAATAACAACAGCAAAGTCCCTCTAGAGTAGATTATTTCTGATAACAAGCAAAATATGTTTGCTGCATAAATCAGATGGGCTTATTGAAAATGCAAATTCATCCTCTGCCAGCAGGAGGTGCTTTTGGAGCAGCAGAAATAGAGGTTTCCCCAGTGACGTCTGTACACAAAGCAGCGCTCCGCTCACAAACGCTGCTTTATCAGACATTACATGCAAGATGAAATGAAAATGAAATGGAAAATGTTCTGAGGACAGTCGGTTTTCCTCAGAGATACAGTGATATTAAAACACCCGTGCCATGTTAAAGCCTTTTGGAAAATCTATTTGTGGTGGTCAGTTTTGATATTGTGGCGGGACGCCACAAATAAATCAGTGTATGGGAGACATTGCATCCCACAACACAACAACCTGAGCTCCTGAGTGAATTTGGGCTTGGAGTGTGGACAAAGACAATAGTGTTCCTGTGGCTCAAACAGTAGAGCTCAGCGATGTCAATTCACTGATGTCCGCCAATGCGTTCGTCAAGGAAATTATTTCATTAAAGTCAGCATGTAATTAAACCTCTCCAGATTTATTGAAATTTCTTTATTTCTGTTCTTATTATTAACGATACATTTGTGCATGTTATCCCAAAGAAAGAAAATGTTTGGGTAGAGATGACTTTTCCACTGAGGTCACTTAGTCCGCATGGGTTATTGGATAGTGTTATCCAGTGGCAAAATAGCTTTAAGGTATTGTTTTAGCAAGCTAACTATTTGGTTTGGCATAATTTCGGTTTGGCTGGTAGTACCCACTTTTAACCATCAAAAAATAGCTTTTTTTAACCAATTTAACCATATTAAAAATATCAAATTAAGTCCAATTCTACATTTTAATCTGGTTGAATATCAAGATTGACTCTGAAATGTCACATTATGGAAATAAAATGGATTGTTCACTTGGGTTGACCTTTTATAAAACAAGCTCTTTTTATCTGTTTCTTTGTCTTCCCTCAGCTCCGAGTGGCCCCTGTAATCTGCTGTGTCTAAATGGTGGAACTTGTGTCCTGAATGCCAGAAAACAACCCAAGTGTCGCTGTCAGCCCAACTATGGAGGAGAGAGATGTGAGCTAAACCAGTGCAGAGAGTACTGCCAGAACGGAGGAACGTGTACCGCATCACCCACAGGTACAGTACCACAAAAACACACCATATGGGTTTTAAAAATCTTCTCACGTGTCTAATCTGACATAACACTGCTGTACAACATATCAGTGAATCCTGGGAAACATTGCTCACCTGCTTCTGGGCTCACCTGACTCGCCGATCTCTCCACTTCCATGTTTGTAGTAATGGTGGCTAAAGATGATGTTGACGTGCAAAAGGTTTATTATGTTATAATAACAATAATAAAACAAAAATAACTTGTCTTGTAATGTTTTCAGGAGCTCCGACTTGCCGTTGTCTGGCAGGCTTCACAGGACCCAACTGTAACCAGCGCACATGCGAGAACTACTGTAAGAATGGAGGAAACTGCACAGTTAATCGTGGAAACCAGCCCACCTGCAGCTGCCCTGCAGACTTCCTGGGAGACCAGTGCCAATATCGTAAGTACTACAGAAAAAAATGAGCAATTGTTTAAGTCTTTCCATTTCATTCATTTCCAATGGACAAATGTTTCATTTTAAACCCACACATTGGATAATTAAAAAGGTGCCGGGATGCATTAGCATATGAGGTGTGAACCGGGTCTAAAGGTGATCCTCAAGCCATGACGAAGAAACTAACTGAGATGAAGTGGGATGTTAATCAGTGTCCTCTACTTCTCTAACAGGGACATGTGATGGATTCTGTGATCATGGAGGGACATGTATGCAGTCCAGCGATGGGTCGAGACAATGCAGCTGCCCTCCACGCTTCATCGGCAACAACTGTGAAGTGGACAAGTGTCACTATTGCCGTGATGGAAAGTGTATTCCCACCAACATCTACCAGCCGCATGGAGATGTTACATGCAGGTACAGAATCTCATGCTGTAGTTTAGATGTTAGGGCTACATAGAATTAAAATTTATCCATTTACTTTCTTAATCTCAATTCTCTTTCAATTGGCTCGTTCAACATCTTGATATGGGAAATGGCTATTGTGTGGCCAATCCTGACGCCCTTTATAATCAGGCCTTAATGGCTATAGAACAGTTGGTCAAATGATTCTTACATGTTTTATTCATCATTATAATCTTTACAAATGAACACAACTTGTTTTAATTTTGAAGGCTACATGCAATTGCCAGAAGTAAGTTAAATGAACCACACCACAGTCAGTTGACTTCAACATTACCATCAATAAGCTTTAGGAACTCTTTCAGTATTTAAAAAAACACTTTCCCTGAAAGTTTGGGACAGTTTGCAAGAGTGTGAATGTAAACACAACAAGGCTGTGAAACTGACTAGTGAGTACATGGGTTTACCTGTCCCTGACAACCTCTGTAGTCCTGTTTAGACTCTTGTTAACAACTGTCTTTTTCAAAACACGTAAAGTTTAAATTACGAGTGAGGTATTGCATAGCATAAAATTATGAAAATATCTTGACACAGACCTTATTCCAGGCATTTATCCAAAAACACACTCACAAAAAAATATATATATATTGACTCAGGATGATAGATCTAGAAGTGCAAAAATGGGCTGCCCTCGACTAAAGATTTTTCTGGTCGACTAGTAGTCGTTCTGAAGCATTAGTCGACTAATCGCACATTTATTAATAAACCATTTAAATCATAAATATGATCGCTCAAGTTCACAGAGACCGAGACAGAAAGAAAGCATATCCTGGTTGATTTTTTTTTACTGTGAGAGCACACAATTAAACGTAGAGTCTTTAAAGATGTATTACTCATATTTGTATGAGTATTTTACGAGCAAGTGAGCGCACTGGCGCCTCCATCTGTCCTGCAGTGAGCGCTGCTGTTCAGCTCCACACTCCCAACAGACACTTCAACAGCACACATTTCCTTAGGTTAACATTAGATTGAGCAGCCATGTTAAGTTGCTGCTACTAACATATTTCAGATGAAAAGTCATATTTGAGGTCGATGAATGATAGGCGAGCATTTGGATGTCCTGCCCGAGTACTATATTACCACATAGACCAGCCGTTAACGATCTGTCCGTCAAGGACTGCGTGACTTCGCCAATGTGGATTTTTTTTTCACGACTAATAAAATAAAATTAGCCCAATTCATTCCCTATATAACACACTGCACACGCCCAAAAGGGCATCCTACATCTTTTCACTCACAGCATCTGCAACGAGGCTTTGCTGTTCATTTGCATCTATTGTTGATATCGATTTGATGCTTTGAAAACTGAGTTACCACTGGAACATCTGGAGCTGACGTTATCCTCTTACTTTTCAAAACCTCTCCTGCCATATTGAGACAATGGCATTTCACAGTGGTTAAAGACAACACCTGTTTTTGCACTGCAGCAGTGTTGTTCTCTCCTGACACGCACCCTGATGGTTGGAAACTTTACTGTTTATTATGATAGGACAGATCAGAGTTGACAGGAAGCAAAGTGTGAGAGAAAGAGGGGGGCAGGATCAGGAAAGGTCCTCAAGCCGGAATTTGAACTCAGGACGCCCATAGCGCAACATCGCTGTATATCAGTGTGCTGCCCACAAGGCTATCGGCGCCGACTCATAATTCTTTTTTGTTTTCTTGTTTGTTGGTTTGCGTTTTTTATATTACCGGTGTGCATATGTTCACTGTGTGTTATAGGTGTACCAGTGGCAGAATCCAGCCAAGCTGTTATACATGTGAAGGATACTGTGCTAACGGGCAGTGCTCTCTTAGTGCTACAAACCTCCCACAGTGCAAGTAAGCAGTGTTATTTTAGTCATATTTATATATTATTACAGTAATTATTGATTCTTTTTTCATATATTTCTAGTTTGCCTTTATTTTTATTTCAGTTTTAGTTTTAGTAATTTTTGTAACTTCAACTTCAAGTTTTCTAATATTTATATTTGATTTTTTCAGCTTTATTTTAATTACTGAAAACAATTTTGAATAGGTTTAGTTAATGGTAACAGTGCTGCAAGTCATATAACCTAAACACATTCAATAGCACCACTTGAACATGCAATCATATGCTCTACCACTCTCCACCAAATTATTTTCAATCTACACGGTTCCTTCAGATGAAGATAGCATGCATAATCCCAATACTTCAACAAAAAAAACAATTTCCAGACTTTTGATATATGAAACCTCATTTCTTCCATTCGTGACTAAAGCTGTGCTGCTTGTCCTCTGTCAGTCAGACTACAAAACTAGTCATTCTGTTTTTATGCTGCTTTCCATTCTTCAATCAAGTTTGTGTAGCAAATCATTGGCTAGAATGGTGTAGCAAAACTCTGCAACAAATGCTATTTCTAGGCATCAGTCTGTCTGACACTTTACTGTCTGACTTCTAGACCAGCAGACACTGGCATTCTCTGTTAGTGCTTTAGTGGTTTGCTACCTGTAAAACATGTCTCATCTTGTAAACTGGACAGGTTCTTATTGCTTACCATATGCACCTTTGCCACTGGGGTACCACAAGGGTCGATACTTAGCCCTTATTCTTTTTCAGCTCACCAGGCATAACTCACATAGTTAAAAGAAGGGTTAAAAAGCTTGGTGTGGGGACCACATTATATCCTGCCATTTCATGCTCCATTACATTCAGAAAATGAAGGGCCTTCTCAAGATCTTCTCTATTCGGCTCCTCATGATACTATAACTGTAACTATGTGAGGATTTAGTAGCAACAGCATTGTGTAATTGCTGTATGGGCTGATATAGATAATCATTCATTTAATTTTTACACACAATCATATATATATATATATATATATATCATCGCTGTGAGAATCCTGCTCCCAATGTAAATGCTGAATCCAGTGGCCGTAAGTCCATTTTTGAATTCTACAGCTATATTAAAATCTTAATAATACTTGTTATAATAACATCTGTTTCTTTTAGGAACAGCTTCAATAGTTATTCCATTGGTTTTACTGATACTGCTGGTGTTGCTGATTGGAGGAGCAGTATTATGGTACAGGAAAAGAATGAGAGGGTGAGTATTTTATAAAGTTGTACTTCTGTACTTATTTTTCAAAAGATTTTCACCTCTCTAAAGTGTTGTACTGTTCAGAATTTGAAATATAAGCAACTTCCCATCCCAAAACACCTCTTTTTTCTCCTTCTTTCTTGGTAAAACGCATCTGCTCTTTTCCGTAGGCTTGGCAAATCCCACTCCAAACGACCGCGGTAACGGTCTTTGTCCATTATGTCTTTATTTTGTCTCTCTCCCATTCTGTCCATCTTTCTCGCTGGTTTGGAGAATTGTGGTCCAAGTGTTCTTGTTGTCTTCATGGTCTCACCCGATCTCTTTCTGTCATACCTCTGTCAAACCACCTGACTAAACCCTACAAGTGGTTTGTGCATTGTTCAGATGAGAAGGTGGTAATCCGTTACCGAGAACAAAGAAATAGATCCAATTGTGTTAGATTGTGAGAACCTATCGTATTGTTTTCAACAGAGCCATACCGGTCCCGCTGTAATACCGTATGTTTATCTACGATCGGTTCTCAGCAGGACTGCATCTGTTGAACATGTGCCATGTTCAAAACCCAGTGTTTATCAAGATAATGTGGCCATTTGATGGCCTTCACTTAAAGGATAATTTACTCACCCCCATGTCATCCAAGATGTTCATGTCTTTCTTTCTTCAGTTGAAAAGAAATGAAGGTTTTTGAGGAAAACATTCCAGAATTTTTCTCCATATGGGCTTCAGTGGAGATCATCGGGTTGAAGGTCCAAATTGTGGTTTCAGTGCAGCTTTAAAGGGCTCTACATGATCCCAGCTGAGGAATAAGGGTCTTATCAAGCGAAACCATCAGTCATTTTCTAAAAAATAAACATCCTATTGAAAAAGATCCCCATTGAAGTCCAATCTATGGAGAAAAATCCTGGAATGTTTTAATTTCTTTTTGACTGAAGAAAGAAAGACATAAACATCTTGTATGACATGGGGGTGAGTAAATTATCAGGAATTTGTTTTATTCTGGAAGTGAACTAATCCTTAAAAGAAAGTGTTAGTCTTATCAGCTTTTCATTTGCATATTTTATTTATTGATTTTTACTAGGGAGGGCAGTAAGACCTGAATCCTATGTCATGATATAATTGTTTTTGCTTGAAATGCAAGGGAAAATAAAACATGGTTTTTAAAAGAATGTATTTTAAGATTTAATTTAAATAACCTTAGTTTAAATAGCACTTTAGTTTCAAAGGCTTAAAAAAATATATAATTTACTATTATATATATATATATATATATTTTATTTTTATTTTTTTTACTGAACAAAGTAGTTAAATACATATATCAATAAACATACGCCTGTGACCACATATAATTTGAATTTAATTGAACTAATGTATATTACACGGTTAGTTCACCTAAAATCATTTACTCACCCTTAATCCCTGAAGACTTTTTTATTCATAGTTGAAACAAAAATGAAGATATTTTTACTGAAACCTGTGAGATTTCTGTCCCTCCAATGAAAGTCCACACAATCAAACTTTCAAGCTTCCAAACGTTTATATAGAGATTGTACAAGTAATCCATATGAATTGAGTGATACGATGATAAACAGATTTAATTTAGATTTTTATTCACATAAACATTGATCAACACACATACTGCATTTATTCAGCACATCAAATATGGGAAATGAAAGCTCAAACTTTTACAGTGTCTTTATGAACTGTTTTTGAAGTTTTGGTGAAATGGACGTTCAAAGGAGGGACATAAATGTCTCAAGTTTCATTCAAATATATCTTCATTTGTGTTTTGAAGATGAACTAAAGTCTTATATTCATACAGCCCAACCCTGTTTATACGCATATTTTGTACTTGTACCTTTATAAAGGATAAGGATTTTCTAATCATTTATCAAGTTGGTTGACTTAAAATTGTGGTTACAGGCAAAAAGATTATACACACATACTATGTATTTTGGTAAATGCTGGGTTTGTGATGGTGTTGCTTCATTTTAGGTTGTTCCAGTGACTGTTAGTGGCATCCCTCTGTGTTGTAGCCGTATTTCTCCCTCTGCTGCTTTGTACGGTGTAATACTGACCTCTCAACCTTATTTCCTGGGAATAAAAACTGTGTATTGTGTATCTGCAGAGCCAAAGGCTTTCAGCATCAGAGAATGACAAATGGCGCTATGAATGTTGAGATTGGAAACCCAGCCTATAAAATTTATGAAGGAGAGCAAGATGACGACGTTGGAGAATTGTTGGATGCTGACTTCACACTGGATCCTGACAAGGTAAGATGACAGCAAATTACTTATATTCTGTCCATGCTTTATTTCACTACTCTAAAACAAGTCTAGAAAAGTCAAATTCCATTCATCCATTTCATAAAATGTGATTTTCTTATAGCCACAGTTATTGTAACGATTGGGTTCTGGAAGTTGAAATCCCAATTATCTTTCTCTGTAGAGATTTTTGTGTTTGTTTTTATTTTTTATTTTTTTATTATTATTATTTTTCAAGAAATTAATCATTTTATTCAGCAAGGACACATTAAATTGATAATAAATGAATCGCATAATTACCTTCATGCAAAGACAAAAGAGCACTACTGCCTACATAGACAGCTACTTTCCTCAGAGTTGCCACCGGTTTGCCATCTAGAGGGTCTTTGAAGGCAGCATATTATTTGGAACAATCTTTCTGTCAGGAGTGTGGATGCGATGCCTTAAAATGCTGACTAGGTTTGGTGAGCACAGCTGTGGTCTTTCAGCTAAAGAATCGGCCTGATCCCATATATTTCCAACTTTTTCTTTTGTAGCCAACCAACTTCACGAATCCTGTGTATGCTACTCTGTACATGGGAGCTCACAACAGCCGCAACTCCCTGGCCAGTACAGATGAGAAGAAGGAGCTGCTATCACGGGGCGACGAGGAGCCCCTGGTGGACCCCCTCGCTTAGACTGTCCATCAGTTTGGTCCATACACGGAAAATACCATTTGCCTTTTTGAGAAAAAGAGAAAAAGAAGAAAGAAAATCAATGATTAAGTGTTAACACTGTATACAATGTACAAAATGAAGGACTACTTTTGTATGTGATTGCAGTATTATAGTTTGTTCTTTTACAATTCCTCTGGTCACAACAAAAACACCACAACAACAAAAGATACTTTTTTTTATTTTAACAAGATGATGCCGTTTTTTGTCGCAATTTTTAGGTCACCTCCCCTCTACCTTAATAGCCACTACCTCTGTGCAATATGGAGTCAAAGAAGGAAAAAAAGAGAGATTGGAACAATTACATTTTTTTATTTTTGTATGAGATATATAGAGAAAAATGTTGTTCCATCAGTAATGCCAATTGTTTGTTGTATGTTTGACTGTGGCGAGGGAAACTTTGACATGGAACCAGTGTTGTTTGCTTCAAATTTACTACAATATCAATCAGATGTTATCAATTTTATGTGCCAGTTTTACTACTCCCATTGTAAGTTCTGAATTATTCATAACGATAATCGATTTCTTGTGCACAGATCCAAACCATCGCAATATTACATATGCTTATTACAGAACAATTTTTACACAACAATTTGTTTTTAAGTGAGAATGTCAGTGTTGTAGATTTGGACATTGACAGAAATGTTTTCATGATCTTAAAAACCTTTTGATCTAAAGGCTTCTGCTTAACTGCTTGAAATTAGTTTTATAGACAACAATAAATTGTGCCTATGTATGAATCTCTTTACAAAACTAAAAATGCTTTGTTCAAAATAAAATGAAACGTTGAGTTAGAAAGGATAGTAAGAGAAACGCAGCCACCAGGAGTCCCTCAGTATTGTTTGAATTAAGAGTGAAGAATAAAAAATGAACATAGTGTGCAGAGCTGGAATCTAGACAACATAACAGTTTTTTGGTCACTACATAATTCCCATACTTCAGTTTGATTTTAGATTAATAGTAAAGAATGAGTAGGTGTGTCCCAACTTTTGACTGGTACTGTATTTATTTTCAGATGAATGAAGTAAAGCATGGATAATTGAAAGTTAACATTTTTGTAGAAAATAAAGAGCTACTTACAAGGAAATCCCAAAACAATCAAATGCAAATTTGTGCATTGGTTGTAGTGACACATTTGAGCGCCTTTAAAGCTGCACATACTCCTGAAGAGGGTTTTTGACAGAAGAAAGTGAATTTTTACACTTGTTTATAATTGTTTCTTAAATGTCACAGTTAAAAATGAAAAACCGGTGTGTTCTAATATTGACACACTTTCATATTGTCTTTTGTAATCTGCCTCTGAAATATACCATACATCATGTTGCTTTTACTTTTAAAATGTATGCTTTTTTTCCTAAGTAAATCCATATTGTCCTACTCAGCTTGTTGCTGACATGCTGCTTTTGTCAGAATCATTAGCTGTTATGTAAAACGAAAGAAAAAAAACAACAACAATCAAAAGTGCACTCATCATCTCAGATGAATTACTAATGCCAAGATCCTCACTTGATCTTTTGTTGAGAGATGTACAACTTTTGTAGTACCAAATGCATGGAAAGTTTTATTTTTAACATTAAATTTCAGGAAAGTAAAATCACTTGTGAAGGGCTTGGGACTGTGAACATTCCTGTGGTACCACCGGTGTTGTCGTTCCCTGACTATTCATTTTCATCTAGAGTAAATAATCACATGACATTTACAAGAGGGGTTATTATATCCAGAACTCTAGTGCCTGTGAGCAAGCATGGCGGGTGGCATATTTTGCGATGAGATGAATGAGGAAGTTAAATGAGATTTATTTTGTAGATAGGAGCTGTATGACTAGAAATGGCCACTTGAGGATATTGTCAGTATGGACTTAGACCTATTTATTCACATTCATTTACTTAATTGACACTCGTTAGTATACAGGCACCAGGTGTCACAAAAGGGTTGTAGAGACATTGATGATGAAGAAGGTAAAGTTTCCAAAACAAGATTTAATAATATCAACAGGTAGATCCAAATATAAGCAAGCAAGTATCACATCTATAACACAAATGGCCACAAGTCATATCACCTTGTAGCTCAAGACCGGTTGCCCACTGAAGCTAAGCACAGTTGAGCCTGGTCAGTACCTGTATGGGAAACCTCTTGGGAAAACTAGGTTGCTGCTGGAAGAGATGTTAGTGAGACCAGCAGGGGGTGCTTACCCTGCAGTCTGTGTGGGTCCTAATGCCCCAGTATAGTGATGGGGACACTACATATACTTCGGATAAGACGTTAGACTGAGGTCCTGACTCTCTGTGGTCATTAAAATGGCAGTTGGCACTTCTCATAAAGAGTGTGTAACCCTTGTGTCCTGGCCAAATTCCCTCCACTGGCCCTTATTAATCTTGGCCTCCTAAAAATAATACCCATCCACAGAATTGGCTGTATCTCTCTCTCCTCTCCACCTATAGCTAGTGTGTGGTGTGTACAGTAATACATAATAAAGCGCTACATAAATGCCTTATTCATTCATTCAGACAAAGGAAATGAACTAAACAGGGAGTATAAATAAGAAGGAACTAATGAGTTAATGAGGACACAGGTCAATATGATAAAACAGACTAAGAAACTCGGTCAAACATTAAGACAGAACCAAAACACAAAGAAACAGAACATAACTGTGACATAATGCCTCCCTCCGGGAAGGTGCACTGTAAACTGGCGGAGAAGGTGGATCCGGAGGTGGATGAGTGGATGGTGAAGGACAGGAGACCAGAGAATCCAAGAAGGAGTAGATGAAGGAAGGACCCATTGAGGCAATGACAGTGGGAGAAGCCACGGAGAAGTGGATGGTGGAAGGACCCATGGAGGATTGGATGGCCAATGAGATCTAGAACGACCCAGGAGAAAGCCATGAGGGAGATGACCCACGGTGGAACTGATCAAGGGAAGGAGCCAAGGTGGAAACCGGGAGATGATGAAGGCCAGGTGGTGTCCGATGGATTGAGAGACCTGGTGACACTGAAAGATCAGGAGACCAAGGCAAATTTCCGGTGACAAGCGGCTGCTGAGTGGCCAGTGTGTCGGAGACCTGACTACTATGGAAACTTCATGATTATGGTTAAATAACCCTTCAGGTGGTGTCTGATGGATTGAGAGGCCTGGTGACACCGAAGGATCAGGAGACCAAGGCAAATTTCCGGTGACAAGCGGCTGCAGAGTAGCCAGTGTGTCGGAGACATGACTGCTATGCAAACTTCATGATTATGGTTAAATAACCCTTCGGGTGGTGTCCGATGGATTGAGAGGCCTGGTGACACCGAAGGATCAGGAGACCAAGGCAAATTTCCAGCGACAAGCGGCTGCAGAGTAGCCAGTGTGTCTGAGGACTGTGTTGACTACGGTGCAAGTGAGGACAATGGTTGAGCCTAAGAGAAGGAGGAAGGATGGAATGTAATGGAGATCCCAGAAATCCATTGCGATGACTGACCAGGATGAAGCCGGGAGAACAAAAGGAGTCCATTGGAGCTGGAGGGATGACAGTCCCAGGTGGAGCCCATTGGTTGATGAGCCGAGGCGGAGCTTGGGACTCCTCGAGCCTGGGCAGAGCTAGGGACTGGAAGCCCCAAGGCAGATCAAGGCTGCATGGCAGTGCTAATGGTGGAGTTGAAGGGCACCAGCAGAGGCGGAACTTGAAGAAATGCCTGGCTTCAGTGGAAAGTGCAGGAGAGGAAGACTGGGTGAGGAAGCAGGCTCAGTGATGGACAGGACTGATGGCGATGAAGAACACACTGTGATGGACGGGACAGGTGACGATGTAGAACACTGTGCTGGACGGGACTGGTGATGAAGAAGACTCTGAGCTGAGTGGGTTCAGTGACAAAGGAGGATTAGGAGGAAGGTTCATGGTGTAACATGGCCATATAAGGAGAAGCTTATTTATAGTATTAATTAATGATAAGACTATTGTCATTCATCTGTGTTAATTGCTTTTTCTTTTGTACTGTTCTTCATCCTCTTGTGTGTCTGTGTTTGACCTCAATCTCAACTCTTGCGAGATTCTCGTGATACTGCACTTTGTGAGTTTACATCACCCAAGTAGAAAGTCTACTATTTGGTTTGACGTATAAGAAGCTGGCATATCGGCATTCCGGGAAGTGTGCTTTCCACCGGCACATTGTGGAGTGTATAATTTTTATAATTTTATATTTTTTATTATTATAAGTTTTTATTTTTTTATAATTGCCCGTCACCCAGGCTAGCTTCAGCACTATCTCTGACTTAAGATAACCAAACTACCTCCATACAACATTGAACATTTTAGAAGTCTCCCTAATAAAACACACCTGATTCAACTCATCAGCTCATTAGTAAAGACTCCATGACCTCAAATATGTGTGTCAGATAAGAGAGACATCAAAAATGAGCAGTGTTGGAGGTTCTACAGGACCAGGATTGGGAACCACGGCTCTAGAGGACCAGCAACCTCAGTTGCACCAACCTGGTGTGACATGACATTCAAGCCTGACCAGGTCCACTTCTGAAACAGCAATCTCATTTGATGGACCAAGGCCAAACACACCATCAAAGATGCTTACCCATTTCCAAGAATCCAAAAAACCCTGGATACCCTTCATATGGTGAAGTGGTTCACCTCTGTAGATCTTCAGAGGCTTGAAAGTCAGCTTTCTTTTGTAGTTTGAGTAGAACTTTATGCCATTTGGCCTTTGTAATACCCCAGTGATATTCCAGCATTTAATAGATAGATGATGTCTTGGCTGGAATGCAGTGAGAAATCTGTCTTGTCTATTTAGACAACATCATTGTACTAAGGATGGATGTGAAGGAAATGCTCTGGCGCTTGGCACAGGTGTTTATGCCAGGCCTACTTAAAACTTAAACTGAAAGTGTTGCCTCTTCCGCTGTCAAGTGGCTTACCTGTAGCACATTATTACAAAGATTGTCATTGCCAGTAACCCCCAGGGGGTGCAGAAGATTTGAGAGTGGCCATAGCCAATGAATGTTAATGATGTCCGACAATTTACTACAGACTCAAAGAGTTTGCCACAGTGGCCAAACACCTTCATACGGTAGTCAGAGTTTAATACCAATGGAGCAGAATTACTGCACCACAAGAAAGGTATTGTTGGTTGTAGTAGAATTCACAGCATGCTTCTGTCAATACCAGCTGGGCTGACCTTTTATCATGCATACAGACCATAGTAGCCTACAGTGACTAATGAAGATGAAAGTACCATAGGGATAATTGTCCCAATGGCTAGAGGAGCTTGGGGGTACGATTTCGAGTTGTACGAGTTGTATGTCGCCTTAGGCACAATCACGAAAATGTAGATGTGTCCAGAAGGCTATGTTACTCAACCAGCCACGCAACCTTAAAGAACCCCTTGAGGAAACCTGCAATTCCATCATCAGGCAATTCTATGTGACTTTGATAGCAGACCTTTAGATGATGTACATGGAATTCTGACTCCAGAGTTCAGTCAAGTCATGGTTGCAAATGCTGCTTTGTTCTTTGAGTAGACTGTTGAAGTACTGTGTTCTGCGCAGGAGGTTGAAGGGTTATGGGAATGGGTTGCTCTTGATTTGCTGGGTCTTATGAACAGAATGTTTCAGTCATTACATTCTTGTGGTACAGGACTACTGCAAAGTGGGTGAAAGCTTATCCCCTGCCCAAAGATGAGGCTGTCACCACAGCAGAAACCATAGCTGCTGAATGGCTGTGTTACTAGGGAGCACCACTGGCATTACACAGTGATCAAGGCTCCAATTTTAAATCCGAGGTTGCAAACAATGTGTGATCTGCTGGGAACTGAAAAGACCCAAACAACAACTTTTCGACCTCTGCCTGAGTGGTTTAATGTCGCTTTCCAGAAAATCCTGGCTACCACTCCGGAAAGTTGCCACTGGAAATGGAGTCTCATGGTTGGATTTGCTGTGATAGCTTACACAGCTACCAAGTGCTAACTGAAGACTCAAGTTCATTGCAATAAACCAACTTTTGTAGAGAGGACTTGTCTTGTGCTTCACACGAGGGGTGGACACATTAACAATCCTGCTGATATAATTGGCAACACGAGCAAGTTGCACTAGTAGGCTACACCGTGATGCACAGTGCAATAACAGGTAGTAAATGGGTTGGGTATCGTTTGGGTTTTTACAATACCGGTGCCAAATCGATACTATTAAAATGGTACCGGTGCCCTAAATGGTGCCTGAACTGATACTTAAAAAAGATCCACAAAACAACGGTGGATGACATTAAAGCGGTCACTGTGTTATCACTCTTTAATGTACTTAACTGAATGCAGTGTGCAATTTAATACATGACAATCTACATCATTAGATTTTAAAAAACACTCAGCAAACATTATCAGAGTAATTCAGCAAGAAAAGTATTTTACAACTAGAAAAGCAGCAGATGGCAAGACATAACAAATTCTGTGACCAGATAGATT